GTGTTCGTTGACTCACAAAAACATTATTGGGGAAAAATTGAAGCAATACATTTTTGAAAAAAATTATCAGAGCCTAGAAGAAAATAAAATTTCGGCATTAAATAACCCATGAGGAGTTGATATGCCGTTAAACAAACTATCTAGACCGAATTATTTAATTAATATATTGGCCTTCCACACTACCATAAACAAAAGGTTTGGAATAAAACTCCCATCAATACTAAAAATGTGATAACTGCTAGTGGACGTAATGAGTATATTTTCCAGAAAAACTGTTTAAAAATAAAAGAATTTATAAATTTCAACCGACAGGAATGCTAACTTTTCGATTAATGAATGCCGAGTTTTTCCTTATTAGGAAAAAGCATGTCCATCATTGCTATTGCCATCTGAAAATAATTTTAATAGACGACAAAATAACAACCCTATCAATATATCCTGAGTCAGCTTCCATTTCTCTGGTTGATATTTATTAAACAGTGTTTAGTATGACAGAGACAGAGTAGAGACAGATTGGAGAGTTATAGGTGAGAAGATTATGACTTCCAAAATAAGCACACACCTAGCTTTCACTTGAACTAGAACTCTGACTTTTTCGCCATTGAGGAAATGTTTCGCTTATCTCAGCAACGTCTTTCGCAACACATATGATGGCATTAATTGGAGAGAGACCATCGTATAAGTAGGCATCTATTTTTAGAGTCACCATGAAAACAAATTTAGCATTGGTTGTTGAAGAAAAAGAAACTGTATCCAAGGAGACAGACAAATAGATTTCTTTTTTATTTATATAAAAAAAATAGAATTGTAAAACGTTGCTACATTCCTTTTCAAAAGTAATTTAGATGCCTCGAAGAGAATGATCCAGGAGTTGGACCCCCACAAATAACCAGGGTCAGTGCAAGGGTCTTGTGTACCTCGAATCTGGGATACAAGGACCACACTCTACTAGATCTCAATTTTCATAAGGTAGTATTCATGTATAATACATATTTTATTGTAACCTAATTATGTACAATAATTGATCATATGCAATATAAGTGAACAATCTAACTAGAAAAATTGAAAATAAATATAATGTATGTAAAAATACAAATTAGAGACATGTCGTAAAATATCAATCCAATGTAATGAATAAAATACAAATTAGAGACATGTCGCAAAATATCAATCCAATGTAATGAATAAAATACAAATTAGAGACATGTCGTAAAATATCAATCCAATGTAATGAATAAAATACAAATTAGTGACATATCGTAAAATATCAATCCAATGTAATGAATAAAATACAAATTAGAGACATGTCGTAAAACATCAATCCAATGTAATGAATAAAATATAAATTAGAGACATGTCGTAAAACATAAATCCAATGTAATGAATAAAGTACAAATTAGAGACATGTCGTAAAACATCAATCCAATGTAATGAATAAAATACAAATTAGAGACATGTCGTAAAATATCAATCCAATGTAATGAATAAAATATAAATTACAGACATGTCGTAAAATATCAATCCAATGTAATGAATAAAATACAAATTAGAGACATGTCGTAAAATATCAATCCATCTTAAATGAATCAAAAATGTTTTGCGTTAATTTTTAAACATCAGCTTGAGATTTTTTAAACTTCTTATAAAGTTGAATAATTTTAACACATGGATAAGAAAATAGTAAATTTCATGGATTTGGACGAAAAGAAAAAAAAAACTCAGAAATTCCGTGAAAAAGATTTCATCCTTTAATAGTCAGTTGTGTTCAGTTTAATTTGTAACATATAAATGTAGGTAGAAAAATGCAAATGTTGATAAGATATCAAGGGTCACAAAGCATTGTCCGTGGCTCACAATTAAGCTTGGGCTCACTATAAATATATACGAACTATTTCAATAATGTGAAATGTAACCGTGTAATCACTAGTCGGATTGAACACGCACCTCAGAATTTATATAGTGACACAGCAAATACTTAATGTTTATACGGAAGTTAGCCAATGACAGAATGTTCAGATTACATCAAACGAAGGATCAGATTAAATGTTTATCTAAATTTCTGAGATGCGGTATTATAATTATTTACACTATTTACATCGTTCCTGCTTTTGTCATCATCTTTACTGTCACATTCACCACGTTTCGGCCGTTGTACGCTCTGGCTTTTCTCCAGGATTTGTCTATATTTCTGAGATTAGGTATTGTAACTATTTACACTACTTACATCGTTCGGGCTGTTGTCCTCATCTTTACTGTCACACTCACAACGTTTCGGCTGTTGTACGCCCTGGCCTTCTTCGGGTGATATACGTTTCGAAGCGAACCCTTTATTTAGTCCACGAAAACTGGAAAATACGAAAACTTAAGGAAATCAGCGCATATACTAGGCAAGAAAAATTTCCTGAGACGGCCAAGCATAGACATGAATGCTGTATGGGAATCATTAATACAGGGAGACATAGATAAGCAACAATAACAAAAATTGCAATATGAGCTCTGGTAAAAAATTCATTACTGAGACATTAGGTGTATAAGTCCTCATAATTCATTCACACATGGCACAATGGATAAAAAAAAAATCCAAAAAGTGATTTGACCCAGAGTTGTGAGTTTAATACCTGACCACAGCAGAGGGAACAAAAATTTGGAGAAATTAAGAGACAGCAAAGAAACAGGAGGAGAAAATGTGGAACAAGAAAAATAAAAAGACATTAAAGGCAATAAAAAATGGGAGATTCCAAAGTATATAAACTAAAGAAGGTCGGAATGTACAACGGCCGAAACGTGAACATGGCAATAAAGATGAGGACAACAGTCCGGAAGATGTAAATATTCTAAATGTTGATCATTTAAAACTACTGGAATTATACGTTAAACTATTCCCCCAATTAAATTAATATCTTCAAGACTTGAGATGGAAAGTAATAATAAATGTGCCCAAGACAGGAATCGAACCTGTATTCCCTTTTTAATCTGTGAAACCATCTAAACAAAACAACACTTCGTTATCCTTTATTCAGAAATGTCTAGTATCCCAGATTAAAAAAGTTCTCTTTGCTTTCGAAACATGTCTAGAAGGAAAGCCTTTTTCAAAAGGATCATGATGGTAGAATGCATATAATGAGGCCCAATAAGATCGTAGAATTCTAAACTTCTCACACTTTGTGAATGATAATCTTTGTACAAGAAAGTAAAAGTAGTTTACAGGGCCATGAATGAAAATCGTCGTGGAAATATTAGCGATTAAAAATGGAGTATCATGATTTTTACCAGAAAATTTTGCAAATACTGATCTAAAATTGATTTGAACCGCTTTCTATTTCAATCTGAAGAAAAAAAATTGTTAGTGCGCAGCTATTAATACAAATATTATGTACGTATTATGTATAAGTCTATATTTCTGAGATGAGATATTATGTACAGTATTTACATTATTCGGACTATTGTCCTCATCTTTGTCGCCATATTTATTACAATGTTTGAATCGTTGTACGCTTCGGCCTTCTTCACCACCTTCCAACCACCTGACGATTCAGAGTTTTATGCTACTAATTCAATCATTAATACCACCTGATGCATTAGTAGCATGAATCTCTAAGTCGTATTGGGGACGTGGGGCCCTATTTATTTTTGCTATGTATTTAAAATTATTATTTTTACCAATATATACTTAATAGTTCGGTTATTTGGCATTGAGCACTGTTTTTCTTACACCAAAGAATATATGTATGTATTTGTATGCGAACACTTACACGTACATTTATTCATTTGATTATATTCATATATATATATATATATATATATATATATATATATATATGAATAAAAATGACAATAATATAATATATATATATATAATAAAATTACAATAATATAATATATATATATATATATATATATATATATATATATATATATATATGAATAAAAATGACAATAATTGCTGACGCGTTTCGTCCAATGTGGACTTTATCAAAGCAAAATACGAAATGAATTTAATTGAAACAAGGTAACTAATAAAAAAAAACAGAATGATCCTAGCAACTGGAATGTAGAGAAACGCTATTTTCATATTGTTAACTGAAAATAACGTCAGTATTTGTCACGTGTAGAGAATATTGTCATTATATCTGTGTTGATGTTTTCCTATTGTCATTTTTATTTATAAATATTGTCTTCTCTACTGGTTAACTTGGAGACATTTTCATACATATATATATATTTTATATATATTTATAATATTTAGGTTTGATGAATTGGATCGTATTTACGATTCCAATGGAAAAAATTATTAACATAGAATATTAGTGTTTAAGCCTTTTTTATATATATATATATATATATATATATATATATATATATATATATGGGCGCATCGTCCACCTTTGGAATGCCTGAAAACCATACCACGGATTGACCCAAACATTGTGAGTGAATTGGGTAGACGGAACCCTTGGGTGCCGTCGATAGGTGTCTTATCACGAACTCACAAGTCATCGTGACCGAGGGTTTGAGTTGATCACGCTAGATAACACCCTCCCTCCCAGAAACTAACACAAGGGTCCCTGGGCGAGCGTCTGCAATAAGGATTGGCTAGCTACCCTAATAGACGGGTATCCTCGAATACCAGCTATCATTTATATATATATATATATATATATATATGTGTGTGTGTGTGTGTGTGTGTGTGTGTATATATATATATATATATATATATATATATATATGTTTCATTATATGTATCTGTATATACATATATATGCATGCGAATAAATAAATATATATATATATATATATATATATATATATATATGCTGTAACACCAAATCGTGTAACAGCATGGGATAATTGTCCATTCCACAAAATGTTTACTACCTTAAAAAACACTAAACTAATTAAATTTTTCAAGGTTTTCACATATAACGTTTAACCATCTTGACACCATTTGTCGTAAGAATTACTAAAACCCTTTGACTTATTCAGCTAGAAAGAAAACAGTTTAAAATAATTTTGTGTCAGCGCCACTATGTCTTCCCAATTGAGCAATGGTGAGGCGAAAAAGTTCATTCAAGCCTTGGGTTATGGCACCAGCATTCATATTCTGGCTTCCATCTTTATTCAAGAGCCATCAAGAGAATGGCGAATAAGTTTAAAAAAGAAGGAAGAGAAGAGAGGAAAACTGGACCAGGTGGTCACAAAAGGAAGAGGGATCATCATTTCAATTTAGAGTTAAATACATTCTTATTATTCAAAGTAGACTCTAATAGTTTTATAAAAACATCGGAGTATTCCAGCAAGGTGCCTTTAATAATTTCTAAGATACAACGACTCAAAGCTTAATCTAACAATTGGACAATTACACGATTTTGACAATTTTGGTGTTACACTTGATCTCTCTCTCTCTCTCTCTCTCTCTCTCTCTATATATATATATATATATATATATATATATATATATATATATATAGTTTAAAAAATTAAAAATTAAAATACGCGACCACAGTTTCGACCTGGCGGTCTCGTCGAGCAATACTTTTAAAATAGCCACTTTAACGCTTTATTTAAAAAAAACACACACACAAAGAACGCTACAAGACAGGATATTAGGTGTAATGGGACGGAAAGTAGAACAGGAGGTGAAGGAAAAAATGGAAAGGGAACCTTTATTTATATATATATATATATATATATATATATATAAAAGTGAAA